ATATATATATATATATATATATATATATATATATATGTTTTTTGATTGGGAACGTAGGAAAAATATTGGAAAGTACGATTTTATTCATGTAGTTTAGACAAGTTCAACTGCTTTTTTTTGTTTTTTAAAAAATGTTAACTTGAACTAGGTAGAAAGTAATGCCTAGGGAGCCATTGGGCAGGTCAGAAATGAACAAATTCTCAGATTTGGATCCTATTCCTTAACTTGATACAGGTTTCCCCACCTATCTGAAAGTAGACCATTCCTATGCAATATTTTGTAAGCTGAAATTGTACAAAGAAGCAGTTACCATGAGTTTGTGTGGTAAAATTTTTGAGTGATCCCAGATTGAAAATTCAACATATGCATAATGTCTTCACTTAACTCACCAGGATTGAAATGCTTAATTATGTCCATTTTTATGTGAATCATAGCACACTTACGAGCTCTCTTAAGTTTTTCTGATACCTTAGGACACATCTTGATAATGGATGCACAAAATAAATCAAGATAAAGCGCAGATGCTCACAGACACAGTTTAAAGTTATGGTGGCTTGATGCTGAGAAGTTGAATGTCATTCCTGGGGAAGGAGTTTTGGCAGGGACCACTCTCTTTGCTGGGGGTATGTGCCACCTCTTCAACGCCTTGCTGCAAAACAAATGCTGGATGTCGTTTTTGTTTTTCACCTTTTTCTTGAAAAAGCAAAATCCCTTTTCACTTATCTTTTAGTTATTAAAAAAACAGGTATTAATGTTAGTCTTTTGTAAAAGCGAAGCTGGGTGCCTGTATAGTCATGCTACCAGTCAGGTCTTCTACTCATTCTATAAAGCTGTTACATTGGAAATATGGAATCATAGAATGTTAAAGGTAAAGTCCTTAAAAATAATTTAATACAACTTAACTCACATAGCATGGCTATATATACAGATATGTATGTTTGAGTTTGGAGCTAGAAATTCACATTAAGCTGAATTAAACTGCAGAGTAAAGAGTTGAGAAATTGAAGTAAATTGTCAGACTATCTGACAGGAGGTAGATAGAAATCCAAGAGGCCAGTGAACATTAGAAAAGGCAGAAAAAGGGACACACCTGCTATAGAAGATTTGGAGGGAGATGCATGTAAGGGATGGGACAAGCCAAAGATGGTGATCATATGTGGCTTTTATAATGTAAACTCCCTTCTTTTTCTCTCTTATGAAATCTTCAGCAAATTCTGTGTTTCTCACTAATGCAAGGGGATATTTTTTCAGGAGAGAGGGGATAGCTTATGAAGGTATATGAGAGGAAAACTGATATATGGATTACACTATAATCTCTAATTTGCATTAGAAATGTCTGTGTAAATTCATACATTTTGAACAATTCTTTTAAAAAAATTTAATGGGAAATGTACCTTCACAAGTACATAAGAAATTAAATTGCTTAGCTTGTGTCAATTGATTAGTTTGATGCTTACAAGTCTTTCACTTTTCTACCTTTTCTATTTTTTAGAACATAGTCCAAGTGCTTAATGATAGGTAAGATCTGCATACGATAAAAGTTATGAAAAGTTCTCCCTGTTTTTAATTTTCTCTCCTAATGAAATAAAATTCCCCTTATTTTGAAATGACTCTGGGTTAAGTGGTTGCCACTAAAAAGTCTCTGTTAAAATACTGTGGCTATTATTAGATATTGTTGTCACATTTTTATGCATATGTTTCACTTTATTTCTAAGAGAAAGTGACTCAGAAGTACTGGTCTATCAGACGGAGACGGCATAAGGGCTGGACTAAGAAGGTGGCCAGATGGAGAGAAACATGGTTTGAATGATTTGTTAAGAAGCTTCAGAAGTTTTCTTTTCTAAATGATTAGTGCACCACTATTCTTTCCACATGAAGTAATTTTCTAACCACTCCCTTTTGAGACTCTCTCATAAAATAGAAAACATTTGGAAATCACTGTAGCTCATTTTCTATTTACTGAGAAACTAGATTCTGTAAGCTTAATTTATAACTCGTCGTGCATTTTATTTTTCCCCATACAAGAGAAATGCTTTTCTTAGTCTAATCATCAGAAGAGTTGCAAAGTTTTATTGATCTGTTTCCTACTTTTATTTAAACACATAGATCTTTGATTGCAAGGCACTTGTAACTTAAAAAATCCTACTATGAGTAAACTTCTTTTCTTTATTTTAATTTGATCATTTATTTATTTATTTATTTATTTTTGATTTTGTCTTTATTGTACTTTTTACTATTTAGTCCCCTTGTACCACTCTCCCCCCAGCAAACATCGCACTGTTGTCCATGTCCATGAGTCCTTTTTCCTTTTAGCTCGGTCCCGCCTCCCTCTGACCCCCTCCTATAGCTGTCATCCTGCTCTCTAGGAGTCTGTCTCCATTTATACTTGTTAGTTAAGTTTGCTTGTTAGATTCCACATATGAGTGAAATAATATGGTATTTGTCTTTTTCTGACTGGATTATTTCATTTATCATAATGTTCTCTAAGTCCATCCATACTGTTGCAAGGGGTAAAATTTTCTTCTTTTTTACGGACAAGTAATATTTCATTGTGTAAATATCCCATAGTTGTTTTATCCACTCATCCACTGATGGACACTTGGGTGGCTTCCACACTTTGGCGACTGTAAATAACACTGCAGTGAAAATAGGGGTGCTTATGTTCTTTTGTTGTAGTGTTTTGGTTTCTTTCGGATATATTCCTAGCAGTGGGATTGCTGGGTCTAAAGGCAGATCCATTTTTAATTTTGAGGTATCTTCATACGGCTTTCCACAGTGTCTGGACCAATCTGCATTCCCACCAACAGGGCAAAAGGGTTGTCTTTTCTCATCCTCACCAGCACTTCTTTGTTGATTTATTGAAGATATCCATTCTGACAGGTGTGAGAGCGTATCTCATTGTGGTTTTAACTTGCATTTCTCTGATGATTAGTGGTATTGAGCATCTTTTCATATGTCTATTGGCCATCTGTATGTCCTTTTTGGAGAAGTGTCTATTCAGGTCCTTTGCCCATTTTTAATTAGGTTTTTATTTGGTGCTGGTGTTTATAAATTTTGGATATTAGCCCCTTATCAGATATATTGGTGAACATATTCTCCCATAATGTGGGTTTTTCTTTTTATTTTTTTGAATAATTTCCTTTGTTGTGCAAAAATTTTTAGTTTGATGTAGTCCCATTGGTCTATTTTTTTCCTTTGTTTCCTTTGTCTGGGGCAATATATCTGACAAAAAAATTGCTATAAGTGATACCTGAGATTTTGCTGCCTATGTTTGTTGTAGGATTTTTATGGTTTCTGGTCTAACATTTAAGTCTTTGATTCATTTTGAATTCATTCTTCTGTGTGTTATAAGAAGATGGTCTAGTTTCATTTTTCTGCATGTTTCTGTCCAATTTTCCCAATGCCATTTATTGAATAAACTGTCTTTAGCCCATTGTATGTGCTTGCTTCCTCTGTTGAATATTGTGTATAAAGGTATGGTTCATGGATAGGAAGAATTAACATCATTAAAATGTCCATGCTATTCAAAGAAGTCTATAGATTCAATGCAATTCCTATCAAGATTCCAATGACATATTTCACAGAACTAGAACAAAATTTCAAAAACTTATATGGAACCACACAAGGCCCCACATAACAACAGTGATCCTGAGAAAGAAGAACAAAATTGGAGGAATCACGCTACCTAATATCAAAGTATAGTAAGGCCATGGTAATCAAAATAGAATGGTACTGCCATAAAAACAGACACAGAAATCAATAGAACAGAATAGAAAGCCGAGAAATAACTCTTGTTTTAAATGTATGCATTTACTCTCATGCCAGAGTCCTTTGATAATATAAGAGTTGAAAAGCTTGAAGAACAAAGTAGAAATAACCAACATTTATGTGGTTTTATTCTTCTCAGCATAGAAATGTGGGTGCAGAATTAATAGAAGAAAAATGGCGGAATTCTTACTTTGGGATCCACAAAATGTAAATATTAAAGTGTTGTTTATTAATTAAGACAGATTTTTAAGCATTCAGGTACTGTTAAAAATCAAATATTTTAATTTCTCAATCATCTACTAATCTTTAGTAAAGATATACACATGTAAAACACCTTTTGGTACTGTAGGAAAAGATTCAAGTGTTTTCATTTTTATATTTGAGAGCTATGAGATCTTCCCAAAATATAGGAAAATCAATTCTCAGCTTCTAAAATCATGATGAATTTGATTTTTTTGGTTTTCTATATTTACTATTATATTAGAATATGATATTGTTATGCAAAGTAGATGGAGAAACAAATATTATCCTTTTAATTTATTAAATGAAAAATATGCACAAAGTATATGTGTATATAACAAAGGCCTAATTTTGTGAATTAGTAATACAATTATATCCAATTATAAAAATTGCATTATTTCATCATGTCTTCCCTGGAAACTTGTATTAAGAAAAGGGTAGGGTTAGACACTGACTTCAAAAAAAAGGTGCCTACTCTTTCTCAGAGAGCTGGCATAATTTATCCAAAAGGGAATTATTTTCTCTATTTAGAAAGAATAGTTTTTTTCTTTTCTAATTAATTTTGAGCTTTAAAAAATAGCTTTCTCCAATGGAAATAATTCTATAGACAGACTTTTAAAAAAAATTTCTATTCATTTATGGCCTGAAAGACAAGTCTGGTTCCATTATTCGTGATAAAAACATACTTGGGATCAGTAATCTATACAGTTTAGTGCTGTCTTAATTTTTGCAAATCTTACAAAGTAAAGTGTTCACATAGTAAATCACAGACAACAAACATGGTAATGAATGATAGGTACAGATTGTTTAAACTCTTAGGTAAAATTTGATAAGATGTTTTACATAACTTTAATGAATTGACAAACAGTTCCAGATGACAAACATACGCAAGGGATTTAGTTAAACAATTTTTTGGCAAGAACATTATGAATTTTGTAATCAGTGGAGAGCCAATGAAATACAAAGATGAGTCTAGTTAATAATCTACAATGATTAGTTAAAGAAGTATATTAGTGCTAATTTCTCTATTCATCCTGCCTTTTTTTTCAACCCCACAAGCCCTTGGCACAATGAAGTGGGTAACTTTTATTTCCCTTCTCTTTCTTTTCAGCTCTGCTTATTCGGGGAGTGTGTTTCGTCGAGATGCACGTAAGATTTTAATTTTTCTCTTATTCAAATTTATTTTGTTTTCCTAGTAAAGAAAGTTTCAGTAAACCCTGCATCTTTAAGAAGCAATTTTCCTTTAGCATTAACTCCTAGACTGTGATGATATTTTGCATTTATGAACCCTTAGGAAGTTATCTTAATATATTTCCAACATCTTAAGTGGAAAAAAAAGGTTAGAATTGTTTAGTAGATACTAAGAGCATTAGATCTTATCTAATTTGAATATAAAGGTATAAATACTTAATAATTTTTCAAATAGTATTATTGGTAATTGAATGACTTTTTTGTTTAAGAGCAAAAGAAATAGTTCACCACCACCATAAGATTTTCTGTTGTGATCACAGCCCAATATTTTGGAGCAAATGAATACCTAAATCAAATGGAGAGAAATGTAAAAAATAATATCTTAATGAGTTATTTTCTTTAGAATTTAAACAAATCTTTCTTTTCCCCTAGACAAAAGTGAGATTGCTCATCGGTTTAAAGATTTGGGAGAAGAACATTTCAAAGGCCTGTAAGTTGAAACATTGAAGAGTGAAATTTAATGTTTCTAATAGCATTGATTATTACTCTGAAGTTCTTATATTCTGCTGTCATCAGTGTCCAGACTCTAGAGTAGTGCTGTCCAATGGAATTTTCTGGATTGATGAAAATATTCTGTATCAATGCTGTTCAATATGGTAGCCGCTGGCTACATGTGGTTATTGAAAACTTTAAATATAGGAAGTGCAACTGAAGATAAAAAATTTAAATTGTGGCTGATGGCTACTGTATGGGAAAGTGTAGCTCTGGAACTCTTATATAAGCTGGATGCTGGGAAAGCCTTTAAAATATGGTTCCTTTTCCAGCACAGTTACTAAATTCCTTTACCTAGCAAATAGATCTGTGGTTTCTTGAGAGCATCTTAATATATATTTTTTATATAGTAAAGAATGAGAAAATAGTTTTCAAAAAGGTCAACTTCATCCTATAGCCTGTTTAAAGGAAGTGTGAGTGTGGTTTTAGTTTTTTTGTTTTAAATAGCCAAAGGACCTATTTAATACACCTCATCTTAACAATTACCCCTACCTAGAATGCATTTTCCTTGCTTGCTGTGTATGTGTGCATCTACTCACATGCACATACATATATTTAAACATGGTGGAAATACATATTCTCTTTTCATGGAAAACTACATATCCTCTTTGCTTAGAAAACTACATATGGCCTCAGATCATTGTTGATATGAACACGCTTTACGAATAATAGTAAGATGTATAGAATACTATAGAACATGTACTGATAACACAATTTGTTCCCTAGCATAGCTACCTACTTCATATTAAAGTTTTATTGTATTATATTTTTCTATGTCCTGTATTTCAGGGTGCTGATTGCCTTCTCTCAGTATATCCAGAAGACCCCATTTGAAGACCTTATAAAATTAACAAAAGAAGTAACTGAATTTGCAAAAACATGTGTTGCTGATGAGTCGGCTGAAAATTGTGGCAAGTCTCTTGTAAGTACATTGTGACTTTGAGTGTTATTTCATCTTACTTCAAGTAATCTTTGTCATTACAAAAGGGAAACATCACATTTTGGCTTTCTCAATTATTATTAAAAGACTATTTGTAATTAATGCTCACAAATGGCTAAAGATGGAGAAATTCTAGCTATGCCCACAATTTTAAAAACATTTCTTTACTGAGACCACACACAATGGCCATAATGTATTTAAATGGAAATTTGTCATTTGTAAAAGTTCCTTTTTAAAATCTAAAGTTTGACTTATTTTCATAGAGGTTGATAGAGATAGCATGCTTTTTAACCTTCAGAAAACACTCCGATGAGTTTTGTGCTAATTTTGTAACCTGGGTAAAATAGTGTACAGCTATGTATTCCTCATTTTAGGCATACTTATATTTTACATATAATAAAATATTATGCCATTCATACATTTTAAAGGACTTTGAGTTGAGTTTTTGGTATTTTTAGAAAGATTTTTAATACAAGGAGAGGCTTATGTTTCTTTCACCATGCACTTTACATATACTTTTCTGGGTGGCAAGTTCATTTTTTATTTATCACTGAAGCTTTTCCTCATCTCATCTCATCTCTCCCTCAAGTCAGAATCAACACTTTAACTCCACAGAGTGTTATGGTTTTAAATATAGATTTTAAAAATACATTTTCTGAAAATTAATAAATTCTGTCTTGAGCAGTATATTTTCCCTGGATTTACAATTCTTTTCATAATAAAAATTAATGGGGATGAAAAGAATTCCATGTTTAATGGAATGTGCTTTGAGGCAAATATTTATAAAACATAAAGATCTATAGTTTAATGCAATAACAATTTATATATAGTGAACTGTGATACTTCTCAGTTGGGCCATCTCTATAATTTTTTAAGAAGTAACTGTCTCACTATTAGTTACAGTAGATAAAAGAGAAGGGTAAAATTGACAGTTGGACTTCTCACAAAGAAGCAGATCAAATGAGTAACTGTCCTAACACTTTGCTCTCTAATGTGACTTCGTCTGCTACTTAGAAGATTATTTTCCCTTGGTTTTTATTATAGTTACTCCTACTCTTTAGCCTCAGGTGTAAATAGAAGTAACATCATGCTCTGAAGCCATTGACTGTCATTTTGCCCTTCTGTTTTACTCACTGCAACTAATATTGTGACAGTTACTTCTTAAAAAATTGAGTAATTTTTAATAGATGGTCAAATCAAGGAACACTCTCTAAACCTGAGAAAAAAGGATTTTTATATAATTTCCTCACCAAGGTTTACCAATATATTACATTTTTAATATTGTTCTTTGGGTGTGAGGAAAATAAAATACTGTCCAGAAATTTAAAGCCTTCTCTCTTCCGTTTAGCATACCCTTTTCGGAGAAAAATTGTGTGCAGTTGCATCTCTTCGTGACACCTATGGTGAGATGGCTGACTGCTGTGGCAAACAAGACCCTGAGCGACACACGTGCTTGCTGAAATACAAAGATGATAACCCAAACCTCCCACGGCTGGTGGCACCAGAGGCTGACACACTGTGTGCTGACTTTCAGGGAAACACAGAGAAGTTTCTGGGATTGTAAGTAATCAGGTTTTTATGCATCAAAATTAAAAATGTTAAATTAAGTCAAGGCTTATTATAACTATTACTACAATAAAAATATTTTCAACATTAAGACTTAGAAGTTTTTGTTCTAATGGCAATTTCCAAAGAAGTAATATTGGATACTATATGATTTTACACAATGAAAAATTTGATTAGATATCTTTTGAAATTCATTGAAACAAGAAATGGTCTGCATGAAAAATATTGACACATATTAGGATACTATGAAGGTTTATATTTACTTATTCTGAGAATTAAATGCATTTTAGTTAATAATCTTGTATCACCAATATTTAACTGTTTAATTTATGTGTATATGCCATATATGTGTGTGTGTTTATATGTGTGTGTGTGTGTGTGTGTATTTAACTTTTTCATTGACTTTAAAAATGACAAAGGCAAGGTCATCATGTGCAAATTGAGTTTAATTGGTAAGTCAGATGTCTTTGGGTTTTGGAGTTTCTAAGAAAAATGTTGATAGTAATTGTTTCTCTAATACTGTCTGTTACAGAAAAAAATGACTGTCTTTTCTTCTTTTTTTAAAAATTCAGATACTTATATGAAATTTCCAGAAGACATCCTTACTTTTATGCCCCAGAACTCCTTTACTATGCTAAATTATATAAAACAACTTTGACAGAATGCTGCCAGGCTGCTGATAAAGCTGCCTGCCTGACACCAAAGGTATGCCCCAGCAGAAGGCCAAGGGAGCCAGTTTGCACTCGGACCTCCAATTCGGGACATGCTATGGCTCGATTTGGGCCACCTAAGTCTCTGACCATATAAACTTCTTTATGTGGTCAAAAAGGCTTTCCTTGCTCTTATCCACCCCCAGTACTTTTTTACGCTTTCTGAACGCCTATGGCATCCTCATTCTTCCTCCTAAGTTTTGCCGAAGTGAATCTGACAGAGGGAATCACTGTGTATGTGTCTAAATATCCCTCCTCTTTTTGCAGTGAAATAGAGAAGCTCATTTGTAAAATTGCCCAGCAAAGGGCCTCAGTTTTTATTTATCTTTTCATGAACATTTCTTATTGAGGAGGAAAGTCAAAGTGGAGAATTTCATTGCATCTAGAAGCATGGATTTATTCATTCATTTCATAAATATTTATTATGTTCTGCATCATCTTTTCTAGAGAGTTTCTTAATATGAAAGTTGGTGAAGGAGGGACTGAAATTATTTTATGCAAAATTAAGAAGTCAGCAAAATTCTATTCCCTGAGATAATAGTGCACTCTGCTCTTCTGCCTTTCCCTTTAGTTCCATTTCCTCCTGGCAAAGCCAGCATGCTGGCTGTCAGCTACCTAGGGCTTCCACTATGGCCAGACTGATTTTTCCTCCATCTACATAGGAAAATGATTATTTGCCAATAGTGAGTACTTGGGAATTTAGGTATATATTATATCTTTAAAATAATTTGTCATAGTCTATTTGAACTTATGAAGGGGTATTTCTTTAGAATCCTTAAATGTAGAATCTTTACAGATATTTTCAAAACTAATTTTTTTTTTTTTTTTGCAGATAGAGACTTTGAGGAATAAAGTACTGTTCTCATCTGCCAAAGAGAGACTGAAGTGCTCCAGTCTCCAAAAATTCGGAGAGAGAGCTTTCAAAGCATGGTATTTTAAATTTAGTTTTGTACTTTATAATGATATAAATGATGATGACAAAAGTTGACAAAATTGTATGTTTGTGTGAGCATTTATACAGTGCTTTCACATACATTTTTTTGGTTATCTAAAAGGTAGAAATTTAACAGAAGTAAAAAAAATCATAGCATAAATGACAATTTATAATTATTATCATATTTTTTTCAAGGTCTTCAAAAAATTAGAGGATTTTTTCGATATGCTAGGACAGATATTTAAACTCCCATTTATTTATAAAGACTAGAGATTTTATTGTTTTTAAAATAATTTTTAATTTTTCAATTACAGTTTACATATAATATTATCTTAGTTTTGGTTATGCACCACAGTGATTAGACATGGTATAACTTACTAATCTCATACCCATCTGCCCGCATGCATAGTTATTAGAATATTATTGACTACATTTTCCATACTGTACTGTACATCCCATGACTATTCTGTTACTATAAATGTGTATTTCTTAATCCCTTCACTGTTTTCATAAGGATCTTATTCTAATGGTCCATTGTTTTACAGAGCTGTAGTCAGAGTCTTTTATTAATTTTCTCTCCCCCTCTTCCCTGCAATTATATGAAACTGTCTGCTTGTCCTTTTATGTTCTGATAATTAAATTCAGCCATCAAAGGTTACTTCTCATTTTCTCACAGCTCAAGCTCCATTCTTAATTTCTTATTTTTGCCTGGGCCTCTATTTGTACATTACTTAGCTGGTTCTAGGGATATCCTTTAACATCTGAGCCAAAACCCCCCCGCAGCCCAGTTTCCAGTCTCTCACTTGCTAGTCAACAATTAAGCAAGACAAACAGAAGATAAAATGAAAATAATAGACATTTTGCAAAGTCTCTAAAATGATCATTTGCACTACTTTTATCTGTCACTTCTACCACCTATACCACTAATATCAAACCAAAAAAATAAACAAAAGAGCCACAAAGTGAAACAATACACAGTTAAACAGGCTGAGACTGTTTGCAGAGAAGTATCTTTGATCAGATTTAGGCAACTCTGAAATGATTTGTGAAAGCATGCAGATACTAGTTAGCATTTTACTTCTCAAAATTAAGCTTAAAGACTGTGCTGGATCAATTCTGTGGTAAAAATAAGCTTAATCAAAACTCCCTAATTTTGAAAAGTCATGCAATTTCTTTTCTCAGAATCAGAAGTTAGGAAAAAGACTTCGACATTGGTAAAAAAAAGTAACTGGAGTTTGCACAGCCCTTTCCAGTGTATAGAATGCTTTTCGATGCATTCTCTAATTTAATCCGCACAACTGTCCTTTGATTTAGCATGCAGTTGTGATGCTGCAGGGACTGAAGTTCGGCGAGTCTAAGGGACTTGCCTAGAACGAGACTGCTAGTTAGCAATCAGGTCAGATCTGGAGGTCAGACCCGGGTTCCGAACCTGATGCTCCTCGGACGTCACCTCTTTTAGAATCCTCTTTGGTTTCTGATTTTATGAATCGCTGACTGCTTTCTACCCACCACACACTTTTACAATGGATAACTCTGCCCTAAGGAAACATTTTTCCCTAAGATAACAATTTGGTTCAGAACTAGCACTAAAGTAAGAACTTATGAACTTTACACATTATTTCCATATTTCATTTGGCCATAAATTTTTTTTGTTCTAAGTATTATTTTCCTAGTGCTTTCATATAAAATATTGCACGTTAATAAAGTTTTGATGGGGGAATTTTCTTTTCAGGTCTGTAGCTCGCCTGAGCCAGAAATTTCCCAAAGCTGAGTTTACGGACATTTCCAAGCTGGTGAACGATTTTACCAAAGTCCACAAGGAGTGCTGCGAAAGCGACCTGCTTGAATGTGCAGATGACAGGGTAAAAAACCCTCCATATGAATTGAAGTTGTCTTTTATGTCTAATATGCTCAATTCTTTCCCTGCCTTATACTCTTTTTTTTGAAACCTGGCTATCTGACTCACTAGATGATCTGATTAACACATTCACTAACTTGTAATTACTGTTGTCATATTCTGAGGACAAAGGCTTAAACAGAGATAGGACAGCTGCACAAGTAGATTTCTCAGATGATATTTTTGGGAGGGGGTAGAGTTGGGAGGAGAACTGAAAAGTCCTTTGGAAATTGTGTAATTTTTTCTATATATTTTCCCTTAATATACAGATATTTAGCATGATGTCTCTTTCCTCCCAAACTATAGCACCAAATACTAGAATCCTAACCTCTTAGAACACGTTCTGGAAAACTTAAGGCAGAAATTTTACATGTGGAAGTAGGGCCTGTGACTGCAACCTTGACTAATCCTTCAAAAATCTCTCACACACTAGTTATTTGGTTTTAAAATGCCTACACTTATTGTTACGGAATATTTGGAAAAACAATACTGGGTTTTTAAAAATGTGCAGTATATACATTTTTACTTTTCAATTACAGCTTACTTTCAATATTATTCTGTATCAGTTTCAGATTTACGGCATAGTGGTTAGAAAATCATGCACATTACAACACAGAGTGGCACCCTGCTGTTTCCAGCGCCCACCTGGCCCCACATATAGTCGAAATGATACTATTTTCATATTCCCTATGATAAAATTTACATCCCTGTGACTATTCTGTACTACAAATGTGTACTTCTTAATCCCTTTATCTTTTTCACTCAGCCCCCTAATACTGGGTTTTAATTACAAAACTCAAATGTCTTAACAGTAGAAATATAAAATTAATAAATGACTAATAGGGACCCCTGTTACTGACTAGATTTTAATCAAGTGTAAATATTTTAGTAAGTTCTATCTGAGTCTCTAGGTTAGGGCACAGACTGAAAATGATCATAGAAGGCAGGTTGGTGTGTATGTCTTTAGAATACAATGGGATGTGTTCTGCCAACATAATAAGTCTGCAGAGAAAGTGTAGTGATGTCAGTTAACACCGAACAATTTTCATCAACTTGGTTACAGGCGGATTTGGCCAAGTATATATGTGAAAATCAAGATTCAATCTCCACTAAACTGAAGGAATGCTGTGAAAAGCCTCTTTTGGAAAAATCCCACTGCCTTTTGGAGGTGGAAAGAGATGACTTGCCTAGTGACCTGCCCCCAGTAGCTGCTACCTTTGTTGAAGATAAGGACGTCTGCACAAACTATAAGGAGGCGAAAGATGCCTTCCTGGGCATGTAAGTGGATAAGGAATTATCCTTTCATAGCTTTTATATGGTCTGAGAATTTAGGAAACAATTCTAGACTTTCTTTGGAGTTGTTACAATTGTTGCCTACAATGCTTACTTATCCTTCCCTCTCTGAGCCTTTACATTCTTTTGGAGAAAATTAATTAGTTTAAAAAAATCGTCATAAAATACTACCTGCTCACGGCAAAAGCACAATCAATAGAGAAGAATATAAGGTAGTAAGCGGAAGTTTTTATCATCTTCCCCTCCATTCCTTACTCCTTTGGACTGTTTCTGGAAATACGTCCAGAAACATTTTGTATAGACATAAATTATATACATATTATTCATTTATTTATTCAAAGAGTATCCCTAGAACTTACCATGGCATACATACATACATATATACACATACATACATATATATATATATATACACATTATATATATATATAATATGTCTTTATGTCTCTGTATCTATCTATGCATTTATCTATCTGTCCAGCTATCTGATGGCAGCAAAGAAGTATAAAGAGAAGTATGGAGTTTGCTGCCAGGTTCTTTATATTTGTTTGCAAAGACCAGATGCCCAGTAGCATGGCAAGGCAGTGTACATTAAATGGCAAGATAAATGATTATATATAGTCAACGGTGATAAACTTTGAATTCTTATTGTTGGATTATAACAGTATTATGGGAACTAAATAATATCGTATAAAATTACGTACCCTTCAAGATTTCATTCGTGCAGAGAGGAAAAAGAAAAATGTATAAATATGTATCTATGTATCTGAGCCTCTTTGAGATGTAGTCTAAGTCAAACAAATATACATAATCACAAATGTCACTTACCAAGCATTTACTATGTGTCAGAAAGTGTGTGGTATGCATCAATTTTGTCATGTGTTTCTCACAATCCACCTAATGAGATAACCTTTTGTTATCTCCATTCTAAAGAGGAGAAAACTCGGGTTCTGACAGTTTTAATAAGTTGCCTAAGGTGATATAGTGAAATAAGTGTTAGAGCAAGGATTTGAAAGAAGGTAGCTTTAACTCTGAACCCCAAACCCTTAGCCACCAAGCTTTACTGCATGGGGTTTAGTGAAATTGAGACTCTTGGGATATGAGCTATTCTTATGGTTATGTGATTTTTCTTGTCTATTAGTTTAAGTAAGTCTCTTTTACTTTCATCTTAATTAGGTTTTTGTATGAATATTCAAGAAGACATCCTGAATACTCTGTCTCATTGTTACTGAGACTCGCCAAGGTATACGAAGCTACCCTGGAGAAGTGCTGCGCCACCGCCGATGCTCACGCGTGCTATTCCAAAGTGGTAGGTTTCTCAAAGGAAAAATCATGTAGCTCTTTGACTGGTGATTCCAATAATAAGGAATAAAAATAATGGTAGAATGCAAAGTGTTATATAGTGCAATTGAGACATTCTCTTCAGATGGTTTCAATTTTGTGCTCTTAAAAATTTTAGGGGTGCCCTGGCTGGTGTGGCTCAGTGGACTGAGCACAGGCCTGCAAACCAAAAGGTCACAGGTTTGATTTCCAGTCAGGGGACATGCCTGGGTTGCAGGCCAAGTCCCCAGTTGGGGGCGTGGGAGAGGCAACCCATAGATGTCTCTCTCACACATTGACGTTTCTCTTCTGCCTTTCCCCTCTCCCTTCTCTCTCAAGAAGTAAATAAATACAATCTGAAAAAAAAATTTAAAAATTTTTCAGGGAAAATAATATAATAGTTAATAAAACCTAGAATAGTCTAGAGAAAAAAAGATCTGAAGAGAACAGTGTCAAGATTTTACACAATCTTGACCCTGCCTTTTCTTTTTTTTAACTCTCCTGAGAACAAAATAAGATAAATTTAAATGTGAATTGGAAGAGATATAAAGAAAGTTAGCTTATTTTTGAGATTTATCAATTATCAAGGATTGGTATCTTAAAAGGAAGTTTGCAGAATGTATTCATTTAGAATATTTTCAAAAAATTTTCAGAAGGTTTAGATCTAGTTTTACAAGAAATTAAGTAAGGAGAAGAAATCTGTTCTGGAGGATTTTTAGCATATTTAGTTATGCTACAATGGGATTTTTAGCATATTTAGGATATTTAGCACTTTTAACATATATAGTGGTTTCCAAACTTTAGAATCATAGGGAAGTGATGTTTTCCCTCTACCAAGAAACTGCTATATGCCAGGCACCATACTGGATTTGATGACCAAGGTACAATCTCTTATTTCAGAAAGCTCAGGATCCAACTGGAGAGATGGATTAATAATAATAGTGCTTATAATCATAGCTGTAATTTATTGAGATTTCACTATGTTCCCAGCAGGTTTAATTTCATTAGCTCAGGTTGTTTTTACAGAGGAATTCTCTGAGGTAAACACAACCTTCACTGCCATCTTAGAGGTAAGGTTTCTAAAACTTGGCAATTGGGAGTAAAATTCCACAGCTAGAAAATAAGTCAGGTGACCTGGCTCAAATACCAGCAGTCACACTCCAGAACCTAAATATTCTTAGTCACTTATACTATACAGTTTGGATGTACTCTTAATAGATTTGACATCAAAGATCTATTTACATTGCTTTGGGCAAAATGGAAGAAGGATCTCATTCTGCCTAGGGGGGTTCTGAGGTAGAATCCCGTAAATATAATTCTTTTATTTTTTTTTAGCTTGATGAATTTAACCCTCTTGTGGAAGAGCCAAAGGCTTTAGTCAAACAGAATTGTGAACTTTTCGACAAGATTGGAGAGTATGGCTTCCAAAATGAGTAGGTATTTTTGTTTTTGACTATTTTTTTCTTGATCAGTTTGTAATTTTTTAAGATGTAATATATGAGGGGGGACCCAAGAAAACCAAAAGTTATTTATAAAAAATGATGTATTTATTCTTACCTGTTTAAACATCAGTCACCTTCACAGTACTCTCCATTTGATGCAATACACCTATCCAGATGTTTTTTCCACTGCTCAAAATAGGTTTTGAACTCATTGATTTTGATGGCTTTTAGTGCTTCTGCCATTTTTTTTTCACCTCTTTCACATCTGCAAAGCCTTTCTCTTTTAAGGACTTTCTTCATTGAGGGGAACAAAAATATGTCACTTGGAATGAGATTGGCTGAAAGGGGAAGGTGGAGCATGGGGGTGTGATGTTTTTGATCAAAAAGTTCTGAACACTCAGTGTGATGTGGGCCTGTGAGCTTGTAAATCACCCATCATGAAATGGGTAAACACATTGAGAGAGTCTTCAAAAAAAATTCACTGAGGCCAAATGCAGTCTCTCACAAAAATACCATCAGGTACACTCATGCAGAGGGGTTTCTTGAATACTCACATATTGGGATAAACCTGTACTGCAAGGGGCCTGTCCTCTAGAAGATAAACTGGATTTTTTTTTTGGTTCCCCCTTGTAGATTCCACCTGCCATAGAACTTTCAATCATGAAAATAAAGTATATATTTCTAATCCCTTGCCATCAAGAAAGACTGGAGAAGAAGAGAGAAAATAGTTGATGAGATGTGGAGACCTATAACTGAGTGCAGTTTAAAAATTAGCCTCTTGAGACTGGGAGGGAAAATACTAAATCTTGGGATATAGGAACTGAGGATGCCCTCTGAAGGTTAAGGACTACTTTATGGACAAACTAAAGACAGCAATGCTTTACAAAACAGGAAATAGTTGGGCTTGAATAGGAGTAGCTCATGAAGTACTGTAATATGTAAGTTGACCGACTAATGTCCTGATCTAATATAGCCTTACCTATGGAGGTGAAAACAAAGGGACATATCATTCAGTAGATATTCATTGTTCAACTCACATGTCACCACTCTTCTAACTATGGGTGCCAGGGATAACAGTGATGAGCAAGTCTCCTCTCTTAAGTAGATTACAGTTACATATTGACTTTCAATCGTGATTGGAATTCCTAATAAATGATTGTTACATGCTAGATATCATGCCAGGTTGATTGCACAAATTCTTTCTTTTAAATTAATCCTTGCACCATCCCTATTGAGTCAGGTATATTTATTCCCATTTTACAGATGAGAAAACTCATCCATATCTTTCACATTTAGCACAGTGCTGATATACAGGGGTGGGAAAAATTAGGGTTACAGTTGTGAGTACACAAGACAAAGAGTTAATAAAGCTATCGTAATAATCATTACTCTCATGTCTTCCATATGAACTACTGTAAACTTACTTCTGTCTACCCCTGCATTTTAAGCTCAGCAGATTTTATTGAAAGAAAGAAACAGCTGATAAATATATTAATGTCACTGAATTGTAGTGAGTTAAGTCACTTTCCTGAAATTATACAGCACTATGGAATTTACAATTAGGCTTAATAGTTGCCCAGGACAAGGCCTTCCCCCACCCTACCCCATCAACTTGGAGACAGAGATAATTTTATGAATGGAAAACCATTTTAACTGATTTTGTGTACATGTTCTCTGCTTTGCCTACTATGTTAGAAGAAAATAGTTTTTTACCTTGATGAAAATACATGAACTATTTTGTTGTAGGCTCATAATTCGTTATACCAAGAAAGCACCCCAAGTGTCAACTCCAACTCTTGTGGATGTCTCAAGAAAACTAGGAAAAGTGGGCACCAAGTGTTGTAAGCTTCCTGAATCAGAAAAATTGGCTTGTGTTGAAGACTTTGTGAGTCTTTTAAAATATAATAAGTCAATAACAATGAATTTTTACCTTTGGATATTTACAGGCTAACTTTCAGGAGCAGGAGTGAACTAATGTGTGTGTGTGGGCAGGGCAGGGGTACGGCTGGAGGAGGTAGTAGCAGCCAGGACTTGTTACCTCTATTACCCTGACCATCAGAATGAGGATTTAGATAAGATCCCAAAGGTGATATATTGTTTTGAAAAAAATCAATGAATTTTTAATGTTCCATCCTGGCATTTAAAAATTTTTTAGTTTTGGCAGGGGTGGGGGTGGGGAGAATCTTTCCTTCAATGTATGAATATAAAACTGCTTTCTCCTCACTCCAACACATACCTTAAGATTCACCTCAGAGTTTTTTAACAAGTTATTTTCTCAAATAAATTATTCTTAAAATGTAGACATATCTCAAAGAGAAAATACTTTAAAAATTCCTTATTATTTGTAGTTTTAAATTAAATCAACCTTAGATTCAGTGTTGTTAGTTAAAATACAATACTGTCTTTGGTCCACTGAAAAGTAGAATTTTATGGGAAACTTTACCCCATATTTATTTATTTTATTGTTGATGCTATTACATTATGTTTCTTTTGAATTTCTGCCCTACTCCCTGTTCTCCAGCTCTCTGTGATCCTGAACCAGTTGTGTGTGCTGCATGAGAAGGCACCAGTGAGTGAGAGAGTTGCCAAATGCTGCACAGAATCATTGGTGAACAGACGGCCATGCTTTTCTGCTCTGGAAGTAGATGAAACCTATGTTCCCAAAGAATTTAACGCTGAAACATTCACCTTCCATGCAGATGTATGCACACTTCCTGAGAATGAGCAACAACTCAAGAAACAAACGTGAGGAGTGTTTCATTACTGCATGTGTTTGTTATTTCAACAGTGAAAACTGTAAACTAATAGGATAACTTTTCCTGAAGCAGTTATTACATTCCTTAAAAAAGAATATTTAAGTATTGGCCCTAAGTTGATAAAAGTATCAAAAATAAAATGGATAGGTTTTTGTTTTCCTAGCAAAACAAACAAATAAACCACCACCACCAACAGAACTATATTATAATCTTGCCTAGAAATCATTCAGAATAATCTTGTGGATAAAGGCTGCAGTAGAATAATATCTCAGTACAAGTTTAGTAGAAAAAGCTCAACAATTAACTGATTAATTTGTGCAGGTAGCAAATTAGTTAGTAGAAATCTTAAAATAACTTTTTATTTTAAGTTTGTTCTATGGCAACCCACAAGTAAGGCAAATCTCCAAGATGTAACTATTGAGAATGGAATTTGGGATTAAAAAAATCTAGAAATGTGAGTTCTGAGGCTTGACTCCCTGCTGCTGTCACAAGGGGTTTGAAATGTAACATAAAGTTGCTATCCTCTCTGGTGGGTTCTGATCATGACCATACACTTAAGAGTAAGATGGCAAAATTTACTGCTCTCGCATGCCTTCCTCTGGCGCTATTGTATGTGCAGATGTTAATGAAAGAGAAACCACCAGCTCCCATGAGTTTCGATGATCTTGTTTCCTATTGCTTCCCCTATTTACTTTGAATGAGCCAAATTCCAAAGACCACATATAAATATTCTCAGATTAGAAACTTTTATTTTTTAAAAACTTTATTTATTTATTTTTAGAGAGAGGGGAAGGAAGGGAGAAACAGAGGGAGAGAAACATCAGTGTGTGGTTGCCTCTTGCATGCCTTCTACTGGGAACTTGCCCCTTAACCCAGGCATGTGCCCTGACTAGGAATTGAACTGGTGACTCTTTGGTTTGCAGGCCAGCACTCAAACCACTGAGCCACACTAGCCAGGGCGGATTAGAAATTTTTAAATGGAGTCCAAGATAATTAAGCTTTAAGGATCATATATAGCTCTTAAATTGCTATAGACTTTAATATGGCATCACTTTCAAAATCTAAATAATTTATAAATGTAATGACATTTTTTCCAAAAAGATTTAACTGAAAAGAGGTTTATTGATTTATTGAGATTTATTGACACTACAGATATTGAGCAATTACACTTATGATTTTATTTATTTCTATCACTAACCTCATTAAGCAAATGAAAATATTGAAAAAATATATAGTGGTAAGCCTGGGCCTCAAGCTCAGACTTGCCTAACTCTTAAGACTTGGAATTTCAAACAGCTACACCTCTGTCTTTACTGTCTTCCTTTTTCTTTATCTGAGTAACCTTTTCTTCCTGTTTTGTTTTGTTTTCATTTAAATGCAGTGCTCTTGTTGAGCTGTTGAAACACAAGCCCAAAGCAACTGAGGAAAAACTGAAAACTGTTCTGGGAGATTTCACAGCTTTTCTACAGAAGTGCTGCGCAGCTGCTGACAAAGAGGCCTGCTTTGCTGAGGAGGTGCTGGAGTCATCTTCATTTTAACTTACCCAACATCCTTTGCTGTGGCACTCAGTCAGGCTGGGGCTTAGGGGTTTCTGTATTTGCAGGCCACCTCATACATGAGGGACAGGAACTGCATTCTATAGGGATGTCTGAAAAATGATTTAAATTAGCTCTTATTTTCTATCTTCCCACACTGGAGCATATTATTAAATGTATGTAATATATGTTCTTTTTCCAAAGTTGGGATGTTTATGAATACAGGTAGAAATATTCAGGGTTCTGAAATCTTTTGGTAGAGATATCATTAAACCAAAACATTAATTTATGTAAGCATATTTTTAAAAGTGCTGGCTTGTAATTTGGTTGAATCTGAGTGCTTGATTTTACAAGTTAGTGGGGAAGTTTACACTGAAATGCCTAAGTCCTTTAATAGTTTTCCTTATGACTTGACAGTAATGTTTTTGTTTCTTTGGAGCAATGGGTGTCAGTACATTTCCTTTTATAGATTTTAGTACTAAACTGGAATTACAAAATGAGAAGCATAGAAAATTACTTAGTAATCATCAATGGCTGTGTAAATGTTAATTTTTATCTTAATAATACTAATACTCCCCCCAAATCTGTCATTTCTTTGTATTCAGGGTCCAAAACTTGTTGCTACAAGTCAAGCTGCCTTAGCCTGAAAAGAGCACAGTCACAGGCACCTCAGGTAACTATACTCTGGATTTGCTTTTAAAAATTATTCATAATAGTTAGTATTAAAATAGTGAAGATCAACCGACCATTTGCTGATAGCCATACAGACCAGTGCCAATCAATGTTTTAAGGTCCTTGTACACATTAACTTATTTAATTCCCAAAATAGTTGCCTGAGTTGAGTTCTATTATTATTTCCATATTTCAAATGAGAAAACGAAAGCAAAGATCAAAGCGCAGACTAAGTAGTTTATCCAGCTGGTGAAAGATGGAGCCACAACTCAGTATTCAAACCAGGGCTTGACAGTTAATCACTGATACGTTCTGACCTAATGTGACACAGTAGACAGAGCCATTCAACTAAATAATGATTCAGCAGTGGATTACTTCAAGTATTAGGCTGGACGATATGCATTTTTGTAGGTTAAACAAAAAGTTGAATGACAATGATTTCACAAGGTTCAACCTAATAGCTCAATAACAAATTCATGCCATTGGAGAATATGATAGATCTACTTTATGTGAACTCTGCTTAATAGTAAATAATATACTACTAAGTTTCCAGTGTGTCAACATACTAAATTTTAATAGAATTTCTCTTCTTAGGACAAAAAAAAAGTCCACCTTAAAATTTAGATGTTTGACCATAAACATGTTTTATCCACTTTGGTTGTAAAATTTTGGGGGAGATTTTTTAAAAAATAGGATAAATTTTCTCTTTAAAAACAACTAGTCCATCTATTTTTTAGCATGAGTTTTCCAAACTGACCATGATGCTCATTCCACTACTGGACTTAAACTTATTCTTTGCCCACATGATAATACCTACACATTGTTCATTCAGGCAAAGAAGCAGCTTTGTATCTGTGCAAATTTGGTAGTTTCAAAAAAATGGTTTGTTTTAATCCTCACTGTTCAGATTTTCTTCCTAAAGGTCTAACTTGCAGGAGACACCTTGTTTTATTTTCATTGGTGAACATTGAAAATTGCAGAAAGACAATCTAAGAAATTTTATATTCATTTAAATAGATTTGAAAAATGAATCCCATTTTAGAAGCAGTACTTATATTTATCCCTTTGTTTTTCAGCTCACTCTGGAAGAAAGAGAAATGAAGACCCAAAGCTTATTCATCTGTTTTTCCTTTTGTTGGGTGTAAAACCAACAACCTATCTAAAAAACATACATTTCTTTAAGTATTTTGCCTTCTTTCTCTGTGCTGCAATTAATTAAAAATTTAAAAATCTAATGTTATGGCTCAGGACTATTATTTTTCAAAGAATAGTCGCCATTCTGACAAGTTTGTCAGTTCCTTGGCAGCCCTGCTGTTCTCTCTTTCTCCACTTCAGTAGAGGACTCCTAGTTCCTAATGGGCTAATTAATTAAAAGAAACATTAACACTACTCTGAGTTGTTAACTATAAACATTTAAAATAATATTTTAACATTATGATAATTCTGAATAAAAGAGTAATGAGTGCAGCATAGATAGAGTATACAAAACATTTCTTTTCCTTAGTACTAGAACTCTCTAAGAAATGTGAGGGACGAAGAAGACAGAGATGATTATAAGGATAGTCAAATGAGTGGGAGAAAAACACTGATCCTTGAAGAAACTTAACAGTCTAGGATGACAATATATAAAGAGTGTAAGAAATTGAACAATTTTGGAGAAGCATTAATGGAAGAGGGAATTAGGAGATCTGGCCAAAATATAGGAAGGCATGAGTAAGGCACACTGAATTGAGGAAGTACAGGACTTGGAGGGTAAAATTTTCTTGTAAAAATTAAGAGATTATGCTCATTATTGGGCCTCTTTTCCTTGGTCCCAGAAGTAGCCACTGGTATCAGACCATTGTCTAGAATTTACATACTTAAAAGTCATTTATAACCTTGTTAATTGTATATATTTTATTTTTTAGAAAATTGATTTCATACTGTACATGCCATTTCACAACTTATTTTGTCCTTAATAATAATGCTTTATAGTTTTAAGTATGATGCTTGTAAAAGATTTTGGTACCAAGTGAAAAAAAGTCTCCTTTTGTATCTGGAGTGTTTCATTCCACAGTCTCTCCCATTCCCACCTAACCCCCACTTTGGCCTCCGCTGGCTGTATCAGACACTTTTCCACCTAGGGTGCAATGATGACAAAGGTTGAAGAGAGCCTGGGCGGGGAGAAATGGAGATGCAGTGTTTTGTTGAGGGTCTCAGAGGCAGAACCAGGAAGTTCTGAGTAAGGGGTTTCCGCGTGATTGGACCCGCACCGGACCAAGATGTGAGCGCCCTTACCTGGAAGGTTTTGCAGTCCAGGCACGGAAGGGGGACTTAAAACGTTTGGAGAAAGATGTTCCAAACTGTGGGATGCCTGGAGCCCAGCTGCCTTTGCTTTCTGCAGGGTGAACCAGATTCCCAAAGTTGCCCAGTCAGTTGAGCCTAAGAGTGATCCAGGAGCCCAGTGCCTTTTCTGGTTCTGAGACAGTGGCCTGGAAAGTGCGTCATTCGGGTTGGCTGACTTTCGCTGCTCGTGTTTCACCCACAGCGCAGGGGATGGGGCCACCAGAAGGATGCAGACACACCGGGGTGTGCGCGCGCCTGTATGTGAAGTGTTCTTCTCATTTCCTATCAACTGGTACAGGATGGTCACATGACTTATACCAGGGATGTCAAGATTGAGTGGTTGGTTAAGGTGGTGTTTGCCAGGTTTCTCCACTGTACAGATAATTTTACCCTTTCTCTATCTAGTTTTAAAAACAAGTCGCTAAATCCAACTCACCATCAAAGGGAGTGAGGCAGGAGATGAAGCTCCTGGAAGGATGAGTAGTATCAACATATATATTCAGAATTCTTTTGTAAAAAAGGTTTGCCACTTTATTTATTCACTGATTTATACTGCTATGAACTCATGTATACTTATTTTATACTTTGTGTTACAATTCAATGCTACATTATTGATTTTGTTACTTTAATTATTCCAGCTTTGGCTTCTGGAGTTCTCAAGTTGGCTCCTTTTGTCCCTTTGGGTGCCCCTAAACTTTGTTTTTTGAACATATCTTAAATTTCTGGCACTACATAATTCTTCAGGCACCTCTTGTATTTTCCCTCCTTCAGTCCTGGAAACTACCATTTCTTCAAGGAGTTCTGATTCTATTTACTACAGAGTGGTATTAGAAACAAAGCTCTGCACACTGGGTGTGCTCATTGCTAATGGGATATCAGTGCTTCTAGACTGTTTCAGGGAACAGAGCTAAAAAAATGTAGGTTTGTATGCTAACCCATGTACGTGCACATAACTGTAATTATTTCTGTATCTATTTACCTGCCTATCTGTATGGCTAAATATGAGCTCATCCTGATGTCTCTGACTCTGCTCCACAGCCACAGATTTTATTCATTTTCCCTCCTTGCTTATTTGTAACTGCCCTCTTTGGCAGTGAAAAACTCGGCTACCACTACCCACCATCCATTTACTTATTGTTCAACCTCAGGATACATGTAAAGCAGTTTCAGAATTGTTGACCCATACCTCCAAGAGAAATAAATTTACAACTACAGTGTTTATGTACAGTTTCTTTTATCTTTAGCCTTATAGTTTCCAGTCAAAATATCATTTTTCAAAGTTAATTGGGTCACATCCATTTTTCCCTCCCTCCTTCAGCAAGATGATGACTGGTGAGTTTTGGGTGACTCATTCATATTAGACCTAATGTGAGTTTGGGGTCCGGCCATTGAATGAACTTTGGAGATGATCTGCATGCGTGGGCAGCTCTTTCCTGCCTGTGTTCCAATAGGGCAGCCTCTGTCGACCGCATACAAAAGCGACTCCCTGCCAGTGGCAACCAGGGTGGGCACACTGATTCCTTCACAAACTTCCCATTGAGTATGTTGCAGTCTTCAGGGGTGGACAAGTCTATCCCTTTGGAGGCTTTTGGAGACCATCGCTCTGGAGCGCCCCTAGGCCCTTCCATTTGATGTCCTCCCTTGCTTCTGTCCATGTGGTCATATTATGTTCCCCCGGGGTGGTGCTGAGCCCTGCCAAACATGCCTCTAAGGAATGGGATCACTCTTCTTGCTTCACCATAAGCCCCTCAGCTGTCTTTCCCCATTGGTTGCTGTGTGTGGAAGTCCAGGATGCAGTTAACATCTTCAGAAATCACATTCTACAAATGCAGCGATTATGGTCTGAGAGTTCAGGAAAAACAGGGTTGAAAGGTGTATTTATGCCAAGAAAAATATGATAGTAAATTTAAGATGACCAGACTTGCATTTGTGGTTGTCATCAGTGAAACACAGGAATAATTGAAGAGAGTCATCGGGAGCTAGAATTCATGGTGACATGACAGAGAATGCATTATCAAGAATAATGATAAAACCAGTATTAAATTAAATACAAGATAATAGAGAACTATCAAGCCAAGACAATTTATTTGTTGCAATGCAAATAGTCTCCAAAGAGCCATTGTATCATCAATAATAACAGCATTGCTACCTTTTCCTTGAGGTTGCATAAATAAAATTAACCAGGAATGAGATGCACTTGACAATAAAGAAGACAGTACAACAAAAAGATGGTACCTGAACCTGAATGGGAAGATATGGTGCCTGGACATTAGGAAGAATCCTCTTGTGCACAGATAGGACAATAAACAAGCATGTAATTGTGTTTATTCATTATTCAAAATCTTAATTGATAAATTAGTGTACTTCACGTTGGCCCATGCTAGTGTTTCATAAATCCAGAGGATATCATTAATGTAGAATAAAATGTGAAGGGTGCTCCCTGGAGTTAAGTAACAAGAACTAAGTTATTTTTATTACTTAGGCATTTGGTTTACAAAGGGACAGCTGAGAATGTGACAAGACTCTTGTTTCATAACAGATGTGTTGAATATGTAGAAATTACCCAAGACTACATCATTTCTATCCCTCTCTTCTCATATAAGTTTTCTTTGCTCCTTTTAGTCACTTTAAAAAGTGGTTCACTGTTTTTACAATCTCTTTTTTCATCCTCCCTCCCATACTCTAATTGAAACACACCATGATTTTTCATATATGTTTTTCTTCTACCTAAGATATCTTTCTCTCTCTTCTTTGTCTGCCTAGTTCAATACAAAGGTCACCTTCTTTGAGAAAACATTCCTTTATACAGTTAGCTTCTTCCTACTCTGATGTCTCTTCTCCCCTTGAACTTTACTTATTACTGCTTTCACATTTTATTATAATAATGATAGATTTTATGTGCATTTTAGTATGTAAAATCTGAATTCTAAAGCTGAAATTTGAACACATGTGGCTCTGACTCTTGAGAGCAGGCTTATTTAATGGTTCATTTATATACCTTTTGCTTTAACTAGATAGCATTTCTCACCAGAATGTACCATGAATTAGAAGTCTGTGTGTCTCCCTTGGCACTTAGCATAACCTGGTATATAATAAAAATCAGGGTGAATAAATTGATTTATGCTGGGGGCTATAAATATTCTAAACTACAAATAACAGAATCTTCACCTAAAATAATTTCCTGCAAATTTGAATCATGCAAGCTTGTGCTTTAAGATAATAATGATAAATTCTATTTTAACATGTAAAATAATAAAATTCTCCAAAGTTACAATATGTCAAGAACTGCACATACAAACTTGTTAGACCCAGTAATGTGGCATATAATGGTATAACTTTCACATCAGTTTCAATGATATAAAATTATCCTAATTATCTCTCTTGTATGAGTAGTTGATGAATAAATACATGCTGATTCGCATGCCACCAAAGAAAGTGCTTTAGCATTTTGAAATACACCTTTTAGGAAAGGTGGAATCTTTTTTCTGACCAATGAAAGATTTTATGTTAATAAAATGTTACACATGATGGTTGATACATAGGTGGATTAGCAGCCATTTCTCTATTTTATTTTATTCATGTGAACCTTGTATATAATCTTTTCAGTACTAGGCTATAACCCACGACCTGGATAATATCTAAAAAGTACTGCATGCAAATGAGCAGGCAATTTTTCCATATTTACTCTTTATATCTATTTAGGTCTTAGTTCTGTTTGTTGCAAATTTCACCATTTATTCACTTAGTCAACTGATGTCTGGACCTTTGGGACTGGTTCTTCAAGAAGCTAGTCTTAAGGATCTCAAGGGAAGAACTGAAGTTCCTCAACTACTTCAAGTGGAGTAATTTGCTTGACACAGTTGAATGTTGGGAGTCATAGACATCTTCCAGCAATGGAAGGGAACATCAA